CCTCTCCACTGCCTCGACACCCCGAGGCTCCCATTTATTCTGCACATTTAAAGAAAAGCTGATGTTCACACAATTCAGGCCTAAATGAATGCTGTGTGCAGAGCTGCAGACGCATGCCTTCACCATTGTGTCAGCAGATGGATGAAGCAGGCTGGGGGGGGCGGGACAGGAAAGGGAGAGGGAGTACAGGATACAGAAGTATGAGTGACAGGGTGTGGTGTCTTCATTTGTCAAGTCAGCCAGGTGTGGCAAGCTAGAGAGAGAGAGGGCAGGAGGGAGAAATGGGAAAAAGAAGGAAAAGGTAAAGGAAATAAGTAAGGGGGGGGGGGTACTGTGCTCCTTTCATGTACATTTAACTGATAGGGTTTGTTGTTTTTAACGTAGTGCACATTTTTTTACATTAAAGTTAGGAGTTTAACGAAGGACTTGAGCAATAAGAGGAGGCAGGGAGAGTGAAGAAAGCTGCTAATGTGTTTCTTCAGACAGATGATATCAAACAAGTACCCTCCATATTCATTATCCTTCAGGTAGCTCTCAGTGTCAAAAAGGTTGGTGACCCCTGTAGTGACTTAACAAAAGATGTTGAAACTTCTAGAAGTGAGTCTTAACTTTTTTTTTTTTCACCGACAATAAGTGTAAATGTCAAGTTTGTATGCATTTGTGTTAAGGACGAGTTATACAAGTCATTTTCATTTAGGAGCAGTTGGGTTGAATACAATTACAGAGGGATTAATTCATGAAAAAAATGTAGGCGAATCATGAGTGAGGGGGTTCTTATAGAATGGCGACCAGCTCACAGGGTACATGAGACAACAAAGGTTGGGAACCACTGCTCTAGATAAAAGGAAAGAAGTTTCAATACTTCCTTTATTACCTCCTTTAGCTTAGGAAACACTGGACCATCCTCTACGAAAGGAAAGGAGAAGATGCTTGGTCGCCTACATTGCGGCCGCAACATTTACTGTGAAACAACATTTACTGTGAAACAACATTTACTGTGAAACAACATTCAGCCGTTCACTGAAACAACTGATGATAACCAAGGAATGCATGTCATTGAAGATACGTTGCTTATTAAGAATTTCCAAACTGATGCCGCTTATATATTTTGACTTCCAACACTCTGCGAAATATGAATCGTTATATTATTACTGAACACACTTTCTGAGTTGTAGGCCTATGGGGTTTCTCAAACTTTCAAAACATATTTGAGTGCTGAGTATACACAGGGATATATGTGAATGCCTAACACGTTATGCATAGATGCAGAGAACATATACATTATTTTAAATATTTTTCACATAATCATAGCCTACTTATGCGATTCATGTGGGTTAATTTTTTGTATTTCAATCCTAACCTTGGTAATGAACAATATATTTTTTTACTATTGTCCCATAACCCCAAGACATTCGCACAGAGGTTAATGACAAAGTGGTTAGGAAAAAGCGTTAAGAGCAGCTTTTTTGACAATTCCTACAACCTGTGTCCAGAACGTCATGAGGTCAAGGAAAGATCCAAAATGAGAATTTGTGCAGATTTAGGAAAACTCACTGCTTAGATAATCTGTCGGCATTAATCTCTGTCTGTGTTTTGAAAGGATGGTCCTAAAGAAACTAAGCATTTGAGCTCCTTCCCCTGGCGTTTGACCAGCTCTTATAAGGGCTACAAACTTAGATACTTTCTGGGAGACAGGCAGGGATCTTAAAAACAATATGTAAAAAACATAAATAAATATATATATATATATATATTAGGGCTGCACGATATTGAAAAAAAATGACCCATTGCGATATTTTTTTTCCCCTGCGATATATATTGCGTTTTTTTTTTTAACTATATTTAACCGGATGAAGGACTTTTAGTCACGGACATCTGGGATCTTAACTGGGTAGTGACTCATCATACCTTAAGTCATGATCTAACATGTCCTGATAATTGCATGTTGCTTACCCTCAAATAAGGGGGGGTTCATTCTGTGAATGAAGAAGAGAAGAAACCTTTTGTATCCAAAATAGTTCCAGATGGCAGATGTTGCTTTGTTTTTAGTAAATCTCCATTCTCGACCGGTATTGTCCTCCTGTTTCTCGCTCATTTTTTTACCGGTGTTTTGATGGTCATGCAAACCAGCGGGGCGGGGCCTGCTGTGATCTGATCAAGAATGATTGTGATTGGTGGTTGCTGTGCATTTGCAGAGCCTGCATGTCACTCACTCAATACCCCTGACATGAGAGCCGTGCGAGTTTTGTTATTTTGTAGCAAGCAGCAAAATAATTGTAACATGACGGTGTTTGAGTTAATGTACCTACTTAATATCGCACGTCCCTAAAAAAAAAAAATGAAAAAAAAAAAAGATTATAAAACATTTATAAGATCGCACGTCCCTGCGATGTGAATATCGCGCATGCGCATATCGCGGTTATCGCCATGACACGATATATAGTTCAGCCCTAATATATATTATTATGCCACACCCCTGGTGAGGGAAGCAGAATGAAGG